TATATATATATATATATATATATATATATATATATATATATATATATATATATATATATATATATATAAGATCACTCCTATTTTGGCATGTCAACTAGAATATTATAAATATATTTAAAAACACTATAACTAAGATAAATGAAATCGAAACCCAATGAAAATTATATAGGATTTTAAATATGTATCCTAATTGGTTTAGTAAATATTTATAAATAAATTTACGGGTGCGCTAAAAATTATTTTAAACTTATTTAAATATACGATAAATCGATAATCTAAATCTTCTAGACGAGTGATTGAACTGATTCATAACACAATAATAATTGGTTTAAATGGTTAATGTTTTGATTATCTTATCAAAAAGAATTTTATAAATTATGAAAGGTATGAGTTATTTTTTGAAAGAAAAAAAGAAAATGACACCTTACTAACAAAAGTAAATAAAAAGGGACAAAATTCGCCTCATTTTATAGTCCCTGCAGAAGGTAGTAAACATTTCGGAAGGTGCTCAGACCTCCCACAGCAGCGGCAGTACGGTGACCGACGGTGATGTTAAGAAACATTTTAAGGTGTTTTCTCATCAATTTCCGTCGGCTTCATCCTTATGGTGATGGGTAAGCGTAAGGGGCTCGGACCCACCAGAGTATGGTGACCGCGGTCGTCGTTAGAGTTCCCACCTCGAAAGTTTTCCCCTGGATTGAATTATCTTCGAATCCTTCTATCTTCCCAATGGCTTGCGGTAGGCACACCGGAGAAGAAACCCATCCAGATGACTATCCTACTGTCCTCCTACTCTCGTCTTATATTATATACAATCAAAACAAATGGCATAAATTATGCACATAAAAATATTGCACGATCGTTGCAAACCTGAGGAAACTGCTGTTCCAACCACTAACATGTATGAACGTGGGAAGAACTCCTGATACATGACAACAACCAAGTTAATCCTTATCTTATCCTATACTATGATGCTTTCATAACATTAATATTAAGGCAAGTAAGCTTTGAATTCATCTAAGAGAATTAGCAAACATCTGGATTGCACAAACAAGACAAAATCACATTTTATCAGTATTATAAAGGAAGAAACAAAATATGGCCCATACACATCAGTCAGAGAAAATAGAATGTCAGGGACAATAGTTACATCTCCCAACAGATGGAATAATTCCATTTACTTGATCAAGCTGGTCCATCTTGTGAAAGGTGAAGCATTTTGGAAGGATATGTGCATGCAACCACAACTCTGATGTGGGTGCACATGAAGACTTCGCCCCATTCATCTCTAAGATCTCTATATATACAGGGAGGAGTCTTCCTCTCTCCTTCCTCTCTCTTTCTCGTATTCAGACAACTCTATATATATTGCATGCATGTCAAGCAAATGGCAGAGAAGCTCGGCAAGCTCAAATGCATGCTGAAGAGATGGCATTCCCGCAGCCGCCTCCACGCAGGCAGCCCCTCTGCGGCGGTGCGGTCCCACGACGACGAGAACTCTCCGACCGACCTCCACCCTGTCTACGTCGGTAAGTCCCGCCGGCGATACCTAATCAGCTCCGACCTCGTCGGCCACCTCTCTTCCAGGTCCTCGCGCAGCGATCCGTTAACCCAGACGGTGCAAAGGTCGTCGTCGATTGCGAGGTTGTGCTGTTTGAGCACCTCCTCTGGATGCTCGAGAACGCTGAGCCGCCGCCCGAGTCCATCGACGAGCTGGTGGAGTTCTACGCTTGCTGCTGATCGGCTGATCCATCCATGCATGACCGCTGTCGAGTGCTATCCGCATTGGCCATTTCAGTCTAATGCGAGATGATGATGAGAGTTGTAGGGTCTGGAGAGTTGTGAGAGGACATGATCCACCACGACCACCTCTCCTGTTCATGGCTTTGTACATCTTCTGATGTAATGTTCCCCTACAAATAATAAACTTAGTATATCAATCTGTGATGTCACACACAATCTTCTTTGACGATTAATCTATGTAATCTGCTTATTTACTTGACGCTTACATAACTTTAAAGTGATACACATGTCGATAGCAGTTATGCAAAAGGTTCACAAGAAGAACAGAACACCAATGATCCAAGAAATCAAAGACTAAAATATATATATATATATATATATATATATATATATATATATATATATATATATATATATATATATATATATATATCCAAGCAGCTTATAAATATGTTCATGTGATAACTTCAATTAATTGTCAATTAGCAAGGATTTAAGGAAGTATTTTGAAAGGTATTAGATAGACTTGGAGAGCATGAAAGAAAATATGGTCCAACAATAGCATTAAGAGACCTACTAATGGATAGACATCTTCAAATTGTTCTATGAGCAGTGGAAATAACCTCCAAAGCATCTAAAAATCTACCAAAGACAAGGAAGTAGATGTTGGAATTTTAATAGAGTCCATGTGGAACCACAAAAGTTCATTGGGACCACTTAGCTTTCAACATCTTCATGGAGGTGCTGCACATGGTCTCTGGTGGTTCCGTGTCTCTGCCCTACCAAATGTTATGTTCCTTACCACTTATCCACTTCATGAGCTGAATCTGGAGAACACACTTGGTGGTGGCACAGAAGATTGCAGTCTGATCTTTGTTGTTTCTGCAATGGGAGAGGAACGAGACATGAGTAAGCGTGCAGCAGAAACTGGTAGGAAGTATGTGATGATATTGATAAGTTCCATTCTGAAGGATACAAATGACTGCAAAATTTCCCAAATGAAAATAACAATTTTTTTCATAGAAAACGATGACGCACAAGAGGACGACCAAGTTGTTCCAACTGGATCAGTCGATGAAAGTTGATGCTTCTCTAGTGAATCCAGTCAAATCTATCTCCAGTTTCACCTGAACACTAGATCAGATAAATTAAATGTTCTAGAAATCAATGTGATCTAAAGTAGGGAGTAGTTCAATCCAGTAACAAGAGCAATTAAATCAGATTTGCAAATAACTTTGATATTTGCCACCGATGGCAAAACCCAAATAGGAGAGCTCACTAATCTATATAATGACCAGTCAAATGGCAAGATTGGATGCCATATACATGTTCCTCTGATTCAGAGTCTGGCTGACTATTTAACAGAAAATGCACATAGCATATAGCCAAATTATGACCTTACTCTCCATGACAACATGAATGATAACCATAATAGAGGTAGTCTACCTAGAATTTGCATGAACTCATTGTACCATCTTACTTTATCCAAACAATAGTTGTTTATGATACAAAATTTTTCTCAATGCCTATCTCAAGGCACTTCTAAGGAAATTCTTCTTGCTACCTAAGACCTTGGTCCATGAGCTTATGACACAACCTGAACAAAAACAAATTATAAAAGATATGCCAGTTGATACTCTTTTAGAGAAAAGGCAACTCATCATCTGAATTTGGATAACTGGCTTAAATCATTTTATATAAGAATTTTAAACTACTAAAACAAGCAAAGCAAACTCAGATGATCCAGGTGGTGGGAGTTGTCTGTTCTGATTGATTGCCTTGATCACTGATCTGATTGATTGTTCACATGGGACCACTCACCACTGAAATAATGGTTGGGACTGCATGTTTGCAGCTGATTCCAACATAATGATATCAGAACAAGATTGTTCATAATATGCAATCTGAATCATAGGCATCCATAAATTTAGAATACAAACAGTCACTATTAAAGTGTGATTGAGTAAATTTCGCGCTGACATTTTTATAAAGCATCTGTCTTAAATGTTGGATTTGGTTATGGATTCTAGTACCAGCTCCAAAATAATCCAAATTGTTTGACATGCTTTATGAATCCAAATTGTTGCTGAATGATTGGCTCTTTTTCAATAATCGATCCATCCTCTCTGGTTTGCTTGGATAGTAAGAACCAACATGCAATTTGAGAAGCTGAGATTGCAATCTGCTTATTCAAGCAAGTTTCTGGTGCAGATCTGTTTACCAAACACAAACTCAGTTCACTGGTCCCAACAACTGCTCTAATTAAGTTTTCTTCTGAATTTTCTATTATTACTAAAACTGCAACTCTACTGATTAGAAAGTGTCAATCACCAATTGAGTTAATCAAATTTGAACTTTCAATAATTTCTTCATTTGCTGTCTGTTCTGTTTTGACTGTAACAAATTGTCATAATATAAAGATTGATTTTAATATTTGTATAATAGTTTCTGCAAATTAGGAGTTGCCTTTTAGGCACTTTTGTTGTCGACTAATTAAGTCAATTTCTTCCCATTATTTCATCTCTTTGGCCCCTGAGAACATTCTTTTCAGGTCTGTAATAGCTTTGGCAGGTCATCCTCTTTGGTCCTGCAACATGTACTAAAGAGTAATATGGTGCCGATTGCAGGTTTAGCCTCACTGGCAAGTTAAACTGTAGATGTCAGTTATAGTGCTTTAAACCCCAAGTAAGATCTTGCATACACATGGATTTAACACATCTTTGAGGTTCTACTTCGTCAAGGGCAATGACAAAAAAAGATCAAGGGATTCAAAAAGAAACATTTATGTTTGTAAAACATAATGTTGACAAAAGAAGATCATCCAAAAACTTAAACCAGAAAAATTTTAAAGCAAGAAAGGGTATAATTGAAGTACCTACCTTCGTCCGAGCAATCCCACATGCATTACAAAGAGTCCTTGGTCCTTCAGGTCCGCGGCGCATATGTGGTGTTGCATTCACATTGATGCCACACCGAACAAAGCTGAACATGTGAAAAAACAGCTCATTGTTATATCATATTGACTTCACAGTAAAAAGGGACAATCAGAGTGTTAAAATCTGCAACATGATGATGGCTTCTGCCAATAGTTGTTTCCTCAATGGAATCAAGTTACAAGCCAGCGATGGTGCAGTGAACAGATATCTAACAACCATAATAAATGGATCTATAAGCTACCTTCAGAAACAGCTAGCCACAATTATACACTGCACATATCATCAAAGTACTGGCACTTGCTGTAGCATTCATGCTTTGTCTTGGAACATTTCTCTCACAAAGGAGACCTAGCCAAGAATTTTTGTAGTTCATAGTTGTCATACAATGTGCTAAAAATATTATGGATAATAGCTTGATCCACAAAACTATTATAAATTGGAAAGAGAAAATGTGGACACTTAAAATAACACCCATTATAAACTATTACAATACCAATAACACCTATGGAATGTGGATACTTTAAATTTCTTACTGTGCCTAATGATTTTGCAGGATAGCTTTTGGATGTGTCAGCTACTTCCATGAAGTATCTGGTTTCTTTATATAATTATTATAAGGATCAGGTACTAACATACTTGGGAAATACTTTGTGTATACTTCCTGGAAGAAGTTTGTTATTAAGATGTTTGTCTTCAATACCGTCTGTTATTGTTTATTGACTATGATTAATGAAGCTAAAGTAATGTTCTCTACCATAAAAAAGTTTTAGCTTCCTTTTCTATATTGTCAAAGTATTTACCACTAGTCAAAGTTTCATTCATGATGAATATGTTGGGGATGATAATTAATTACTATGTAAAGATTAAGTAATCCAACTAGAAAAGAACATCAAGATTTGTCAATATATCTACAAGTATTTTTCAACTGGCCTCAAACTCACTCATGTTGTTAAGGAAAATTCTCGCTAAGATATGCAAGAAAGCAGCTCTGAAATTAAATTGCATGCCAATGCAAAGCTCAAAAGGAAAAAAAATAAAATAAGAAAGTCGTATTTATCAAATATTTCCAACATGCAATTCCTCAAAAATTATATCAACAGTCGTCAACAAGGTCCATCTTCAAGCTTCAAAAACTCAAGAGAAACCAATATACATCTTCAAGCTTCCAACGAGAATCAGAATCAAATGCTCCAAGATCATATTTTTATGCACCTGGGGGGACCCTCGGACGGATCATCGCCGGTATTGTAATGCGCCTCAAGAACCTGCTCCTGCTCGAACTGCATCCGGAGATCCCCGTGGTAAGGCTTCACCAGATCATCCGGCGGCCAATCATCAAGGACTCATGTCACTTCTCTCTCACGCGATCCATCATTGGGATAAACCGAAACAAAAGGGAGGAATTTTAATCTAAACCCTCTTGGAGCAAGATTCCGTATGAAGAGATTCCTCCGGGGGAATCGAGATCCCACGTCCTAATCGGGTCCTAACACGACGTAAAGACGCTTCGATCCGACGGAATTAAGCGTTCTCGTGCAAAAACCCCGAGGAGGAGGAGGAGGCGGAGGGGAGGGCGGAAATGGATCAGCTGAGAGGCGTCACCCAGCGAGACGCCAATACCACAGCAATGGGACCCTTAGGGACTGAAACGTGGCTCTCCGTTCTCTTTCCACGAATGAAATGTGGACGCGTGTCGAGCACTTCTGAGAGGTTTATAAGGGTTTTAGGTTTGGCCAAAGGATTCGGAGCGCGAATTGGATCAGCGGCAGAGATGAGCGTGATGAAGTTCTGCGGCGAATGGTTCGTTCTTCCCATCTAAATCATCACCATTGTCGTCGTCATCTCGCTACTACGATCTTTCCTGTACTTCTGTTCTTTTTCTCCAGCAACAATGTTCTGTATCCGAAGGAGGACAGGGAGCAAAGGATCCTCCTCTTCGCCTGCCGGAACTGCGATCACCAGGTGGGTCTGCCCTCACCTCCTCTTTAATCGCTGTTTTCCCGGCCAAAGTTGTGTTATACTGTCGCTTCTTGCCATTGGGAAAACAAGGGTTACACATGGGGCCGATCGATGTCTAAAGGGATGAGTTTGGTTTGCGGACGAAGTAATTATGGTTGCAGAGAGAATGAATCTACTCCAAAACGCGTCTTTCTTTTCCTCTTTGGTAGGCATCCCACAGGAAAAAACAAATTTCTTTCTTTTTCCTCCCCAAGATAAATCATTACCATATATTCTTGATTTCTTCTTTTATCTCTTTGATAGATAAATATTATCGACTAACCAACCATCATCCGACACTTGGTATCCAAGTTAGCACAGGGGAGACAAATTCTGCCCCCTGGTGCAAACCAGGCGATTCCGGGCTGCCTCCCTCGTTTGCTATCTACGTGGACAAGAGTTCAAGAGGGACAGTCATTTTTGTTCGATATAAAAGCATATCTTTAACATAAGAATCGAGGTGAGTCATTTTTTTATCACTTTCACCTCACTTCCCATTACTTGGGCCTAACTTAGGCATCGGAGGGATCATGTCGAGAATCCACTATTGAAATTGGTTTTTGTGTAGGTCATTGTCGGAGCACCTGAGTGCACCCACACTGACTTTCGCAAGACCTCCAGTGTCACCTTGGCACTTCATCGTTCCTGCACACGTGTAGACGAACCACGTCAGACTGACCTAAGTATCAATGATATTTTCTCCTAACACTTCATTTACAAGCTTACATCCTTGATCATAGTATCCACACTAGCATTAGGATTCCTTTAATAGTTGTTTCCGGAATAAGTCTTTGAATGTTTTGAATCTCCCATGACTCACCTCGGTTAAACTCTTTCTAGCCTATTAGTTCCATTAGTACTTGTTAGCAACCTTCGATGTGGTAGTAAAAGACTACTATTATGGCTTTTCTCCAATCAAGCTTAGTTTACTTTGACCATTTCTTAGTGGATCATTAGTGTTAAACATCATTCTCAGTCCTAAGATTTCTCATAAGGTAAGTACACTGGAAGTGAGATCAGAGAGTCTTTGTTTACGAGGACAGTGTGTTTCTGTTTCTGCATAGATACTCAGAACGTCTTGAATATTGTTACTTGTGTCCAAATTTCCAAGGTCTTCTTCATGATTATAGCATTTCCCATTAAATAGCAGTTGCTCCATGATATCCCAATTAAAGCTTAGAACCAACATCATTCTCAGTGCTATGATAACATAGAAAGCATGGATATGTCATCATTTTCTGCCAATATCTTGGCAATCTAGTTAATATTGAAATTATCTTTGACTTTGCTGGCATCTTGGTAGAATTTCTGACCAAGTATTTGTTGTATTCCTCCAAAGGTATCTTCTCTGTTGGCCAAAATGACCATGAAAGCCACTAGCACAATGCCCCAATATCATATCATTTTTCCATGCAACTTATTTCATTTTGGAGAAGCAACCATCATGCAACAGAATGTCCCTTGCTTTTTGTCATTTTATTCTTCATAAAATGAAACAAAGAAATAAAGTAAAGCAATAAACCCTTTAAGGAAACAAATTCCACTACTACATTGCACACAGTGACCATCAATAGGGCTCTACATCTAAGAACATCTGCCACATGAAATGTTGTTTATGCTTCATATTATAGTTGATGCCTACTGTACCCCAAAATAACGAATTTACTCTATGATTATAGTGAGATTGGCAAAGGTAGAGGTTCCTTCAATCTACGTGGGTCAACTTTTAGTTAATATGATGTGCCATTGGATTTTCCAATGCATTTAGATTTTGAACATAATGCATATCAAATGATGAGTAGAAAAGGACAATCTATTTGCTTCAGTTCCAGTTTCTTTTAACTGCAGGCTAGGAATTGAAATTGTCATGCTATTATAGAGTCACTTCTGATTCTTGTCTCTTCCTTGCTAATCTTTCTATGTCCTAAATTTGCATTATTTGTAGCTGATGGAATATGTGAACTGATAGCCCAATTGGTTATTATCAGTCAATCTTCTGTCGGTCAGATTTTCTTTGTCTGTACTGTACAAATTTCTGTTTTAACACCATAATCATTGTTTTCATAAGTGCTTATTTCAGTCAGTCTTCTGTTTGTTGAATTTTGTATCTGCATTGTACAAAATTGCATTTAAATGTCATTAATCATATTTTTTGTAAGTGCTTATCTCTCCTTGGGGATTGTTTTCCTCGATGTTTCCTTGCCACAGGAGGTTGCCGATGACTGTGTCGCCTATAGAATGGAGATAAATCATTCTGTTGGTGAACGCTCTCAAGTGCTACAGGATGTAGCAGCTGATCCAGCTCTCCCTCGCACAAGGAATGTCAGATGCGCAAATTGCCATCACCCAGAAGCTGTATTCTTTCAGGTTAGATATCTAATAGTTTGTTGCTTAAATTATTGCAGGTGATGGCATCTATTCTGCTTATTGGACATTACTGCTAGTAACCTGCTGAAGAGAACACGAGGATGGGCAAACCATGCTCCTACATGTCATTTGCTTATAACTGAAAAAAGTTATGCTCCTAGTATACTTTAATAGATCATTAATGCATGATCTGATTTAACTAATATTTTCTTTGGCATTATGTGTTTTCTGGGATACATGTTTGCAGTGCTGTAACTACATAGGCCGTCTATTTTCTTTGTTTGATTTTGTTAAGGATAGAGAATTTAGTGTTGTTGCAGCCTGCAGTTCAATATAAAGAACAATACCAATTTAAAAGTTGGGCTACTAATCGTTTCTCAATCTTGCTTTTGTTAATTTTGAATCTCTATCAGATAATAAGATGGCTAAAATGTCTTTATATCAAGATAATTGAAGAGAAATAAGCACATCCCTTGTGAAGAAAAATTAGACATTTGAACTGTACTCAATATTAGTGGCATAGGTTGATATGTGCTCATGTTATTTGCTTGCTGTATATATATCATGAAGTCACTAAACCTAAAGCTCTTCAAGCTATTCATTGAAGTCACTAAACCTAAAGCTCTTCAAGCTATTCATTGATTCTGTTTGACCTTCTATTGTATACTTTGTGTCACATTCAACAATTAAAGGAGGCATTTCTATAATTGATGTTTCAATATGACACTTCAGCTGCTGGCAAAAACACTGAAATTGTTTGGTATGTTGTTTCATCTCACTGTGATCTGCTTCTGTTATTATGTCCAATTAGTTCGAGTTGGGGTCTTCCAGCATAAAGCACTTTCTTGTATCCGTACCTTGCGTAAATAGATGATGTCAAATATTTTGGAACATGTGGTAGTTAGAAATGACCTGGACATAATATGAGGTACACCGAGTAAGAAATTGTTCTTGTTTCAACTTTGGACTTTTGAGAAGCGGACAACAAGGTAACTTGGTATTTGGTGTCGAAGTACCAGTTCTAAAAGTTTGATTTTTCATTGTTTATCATTAATATCTTTATCTGCATCTATGGGTTGCTGATGCTTGATACTCATAGTGCATTCTATAAAATGACTGTTTGCCTCCACTTATCTGCATTGTTTGCCTCCACTTATCTGCATTGTTTGCCTCCATTAGATTGTCCTTTAAAATAAAATGACTCTCTCCATTAGATTTGTCATATTAAGTTGCATTCTACATCCACTTATCTGTATGTCTGAAATTCTCACAAACTGGAATATGTCCACTTTTCATCAAGGTCATGAAAAACAATGGAAGATTCATCATTGCCTTTTGTTATAATCTTTTATTTTCTTTTCACTGTCAATCTATCATCATGTTCATCAATTTTCTTTTCATCGAATTTCCATCATCTTTCTACACTTTTTCCTCGCCCATCAATAATTACACGTTCTTGTATTTCACTGTATCTGCTGATAACATGTATCATGGCTTCAGTATACAACTTTTGGACTTTTTTCATGAACATGTTTGGTTGGTCTCGCATGTTGTCATTAAACAGTTGCTTCAGCCGTGATTATGGTTAGACATGGAGATGTAAACAAGGCTGCCACAATATTATGTTGTCACTCTGATCCTTAAACTTATAGGATATATGTGATTTACTTTGCTCTGGGAGTTCTATGTGCTCTTAGTTAATAAGTGCTTCCATGGCTCCTATCTTATGACAGTTAATGTAAAGCTTGGTTATTTTGTAGGCACCATCAAAGGCGGAGGTGGGCATGGCACTGTTCTTCATTTGCTGCAACCCAAACTGCGGGCATAGGTGGAGAGATTGATGAGGTCGAAACCAACCTGCCGTTACTGCTTGTGCTAACTCAACCCCAGATTGGATAATTGGATCAAATTTGCTATCCTATTCTGGTTTGCATATGAGGTTTTCTTCTGAACATACATCTACTAGGACATAGAAACTTGGATGGTTTTACTACTGCTCAAAGAGTATATATGCAGAACCAGCATCTGTAGCTGTCTACATTCTCTTATCTTGCATGGGATGGCCTTTCTGTGCTCTTAGTTTTACCAGGTTGGATTCACCTTGGATCCGAACTTTTTGGATTTGGGTTCGGATTCGTGATTGTTGTAGCTTATCGGATCAAAAATCGAGGATCCGAGATGGACTTTTGGATTATCGAGCTCCATTTTTTTGAATCATAGCCAACTCCATTACTCAACTTAAAATGTTTTTTTTTCTCATCCTAATGTGTATTTATTGATGTTCTATGTACGTTTGGTATTAGGAATGAAGAAGTATTTTATTGCACCATAACGCAACTACACACACGTTTAGATTGCAGAACTTTCGCGTTGACGGAGTCAATGGACCAATTATGAATGCGTTCATGACTTCTACATGGGTCCGCGTGATCGATACATGAACAATAAATCTGTGTGCCTCATGTTGTGTCATCATGATCCCTTAGCAAATAATATGTGCCTTACGTACTTCGATGGCCGAGGGTAATAATGTCACTTAGCATGGCTTAACAAACCATGTCACATAACATGGTTGAAGAATAGATGTGTATGCTCTTTGTGGGGGTGGCTGTGTTGTTCGGGGGTATCAACCATGCTATACCGAACGTGGCTTGGCCAGTCATGCTAAATAACATTGGTCCAGTCACTGTTCGACGGCAGCGGCGTCCGCGATCTCCCCGATGAGCACCGCCACATCCGCCATCTCCGGCCTCTGCTCCGGGTCCGGGTCGACACACGCGGCGCCGACCCTGAGGAGCCGCACCATGTCGCCCGTCGAAGGGTGGGATGCGATGACCCGGTCCAATAGCTCGGCCTCCCGCTTCTCCGCGATGGCCGACGCCGCCCACTGCACGACGTCGGTTCCGCCCTTGGTGTTGTTTATGTACTGCGACGGGAATTTTCCGGTGATCAGCTCCAGGATGACGATCCCGAGGCAGTAGACGTCGGACTTGGGCGACACCAGGCGGTGCTGTGTGCCCTCGGGTGTCCGGTAGGAGAACATGACCTGCGACGCCTGCGCCGCGCCGACCAGCGCAGCGAGGCCGTGGTCGGTGATCATCGGCTCGAAGTCGTCGCCGAGGAGGACGTTGGCGGACTTGAGGTTGCCATGGGGCACGTCGAGGGAAGCCAGCTCGGCGTGGAGGTACGCCATGCCGCGCGCCATCCCCCGCGCGATCTTTAGCCGCGTCGGCCAGTCCAACGCATGGTAGTTCGGCCCCCGATCCCCTGGCCATGTAACCGATGAAACAACGAACAGCGGGTGCTTTGGGGAATTGAAGGGCGTCGCGTGTGGCATACCGTGGAGCACGTAGCGCAGGCTGCCCATGGGGACGTACTCGGAGACAATGAGCTTCTCCTCCTTGCGGTAATGGTAGGCCAGTGGTGTGAGGACGTTGGGGTGGCGAAGCTTGCCGATCCGCCTCATCTCCCCGTCGAAGGCCTCCTTTCCGATCCGGTTCGCGTCCCGCATCCGCTTGACGACGACGGTCAAGCCGTTGGCCATGGCGGCCTTGTAGGCGGATCCGAGGCCGCCATTGCCGAGCACCTCGGCGGAGGCCTTCATCATGTCCGTAAGGCTGAACGCGCCCTTATCTTCGTTGATCATGACCAGCTCAGCAGCCCCGCGCACGGCCGCCGTCCCCGTGCCTCGTCTCGACCCGGACCGCTTGTGGCTCGATCCGGACTCCTCCGCCTGCTTTTGAATCGAACCAGGGACTTGCGGCGGTGCAGCTACAGCAGCCGACTCCATAGCCTCGGCGGAGGCCACCATGCTGAGCGTATCAAATTTGTCCTCCCGCCGTCGTCCGCGCAATAACGTGACTATGGCGATGAGGGCGGCCACCGCCACCGCTATCCCGACCAGGATAGCGAGTGTCTTTCCGAAGCTACTCTGCTCCTTCGGCAGCTCCTCCATGGTTGGGGCCGGGCTCGTTGTGGGGCAGGGGGTGGAGCTGAGAGGGGGGCCGCATAGATCCGGATTTCCCGCAAAAGAGGAGGCGTCAAAGCGAGCCAAGGAGGCTGGAATGGGTCCGGTGAGGCGGTTGTTGGAGGCATTGAACGACTTGAGAGAAGAGAGGTTGAGGGAAGGGATGAGGCCGTCGAAGGCGTTGTCGTCGAGACGGAGCTCGGTGAGCTTGGTGGCGTTGAAGATGGAGGTGGGGATGGGCCCTGAGAACTGGTTATGATCGAGCCAGAGCTTCTTGAGGCGGCTCATGGAGCTGAAGACCGCGTCGGGGATCTCGCCATCGAAGCGGTTGTGGGAGAGGAAGAAGGACCTCATGGTGCGGACGCTCGCGAGGCCCGGCGGGAGGGGACCGGAGAGGTTGTTGTTGTTGAGGCTGACGGAGCGGAGGCCCTTGAAGTGGGAGAGGGCGTCAACATTGATTGTACCGGAGAGGCCGAGGTTGGCGAGGCGGAGACCGATGACGATGCCGTGGAGGCAGATGACTCCTAACCATTGTGAGGGGGGGCCGCAGGGAGGGGTGGAGGAGGACCACGAGGAGAGGGCGTCGGCGGCGTCTTTGAAGGAGTCCTTGAGGAGGAGGAGGGCCGTGGCGTCCGTCATTGAGGCCGCCGTCCCATCTGCAGCTGCCGGCTGCGCGAGGACCATCAGGTGGATCAGAAGGTAGAAGACGAAAGCAAATGCCACCTTCGTCTTCCTCATTCTTTCGTCAACTCTTCCTTCGGTTATCAGCCTCTTGTTTTTCTTCTTTAATTCGTTTGCTTTTTTCATGGTGGTGGAGAGAGAGGGAGGAGGACGACGGAGAGTCGATGGTGGCGGACGAAACAGGAGATGCTAAGTTTAGATTGAGAAGACAAAACAAGAAAAATTAAAACGTAGTGTGAGCTAGAATTCGTAGGTTGACACGATTAACGACGAGGTCAAACTTGGAACCTTCAATTTTGTTCAGAGCTGGAATGCGGTCGCCATGCACGTAAATGATTCGTGAGCTTCTTTTCACTATGCAGCATTATATATATATATATATACACACACACACACACACACACACACACACACACACACACACACCATTTTTCTAAAAAGAATCCTCATTTTGACTTTTTTTTAAAACATTGTTCCTTTTCGATTTTTTCCCCATTAATTTAAATATGTATTATATTAGTTTAAAAATAATATCACTCAAATAGAAATAAAAAATAGATTTTGATCAATACAATAAATATACTATAAAATCTACTTAACATTGTAAATGATTCAAATGGATCGTTAACCTCAATCAATCAATTACATGTTTAAAAATATGATATCATAATGATCTATAAGCAATAACAATCAAAACAATATAGTATGATATAACTTAGTGTTTTTTTAATAGTTTTATAGTGTTTACAATACTTAATAAAAATACTATAAACGATATTTTAAAATATTATAAATGAGAAAAATGAAAATATCATAACAATTCAAAACTAATGAAAAATTTTGATAGGAAGAGTTGACAAAGGGGTAATTTGAATAATTTTAAATTAGAGGATCCTCTTTGAAAAAAATCAAAAAGTAATGTTTTTTGGAAATCACCATATATATATATATATATATATATATATATATATATATATATATATATATATATATATATATATATATATATATATAATGAAACAAAATAATATAAATATTTACTCATCACAGGTATATTTAACAAAGGTATATTGTTAAAGAGTCATCCTCAAAAGTTGAGAGAGAGATGATGATGGATGGTTGGTGCTACCCTCGGTGATGAGAGGAAGAAATCCATGAGCTACCCTTCTAAAACGTGTGTCATATCTTCCTTGGTTGCTATTGATCCTACGGGAGGAATAGTCAGCAAGCGATCCATGAAGCTGATGCCTATATGTTCATTGAGAACAGGAGCTGGAGGATCAGATCGAGGAGAGTACAAAGGGGTGGCCTGAGAAGACAGAGCATGAACTTGTCAAGCATGAGCTGGTCCGGATACACGGCTGTGATGTTCGTGACGAGATGCCAAGTAGTCGGTCCTTGCATTGCACCGAGTGCAATTTTAATCTATGACCAAAATGTGCAACTAAGAAGAACTACGAGGAAGGAAGACGAGGAACACGGTGAAGAGTAGGGGGGTGACAGAGAAAGGTAATATGTGTGGTGGACAGGTTTCCCGAAAAGTCTGAATCTGCTTTGTTCATCATTGTTTGTATAAGTTGTGCTGGTGGATTGCAACAACTCGAGAATTGTGGAGTTAATGCAGTCTAGTGAACAGAAGTTGTAGCTTTTTGAAGACTCCTTGGTCATGCATCTTACTGCAAATTCGATCTTCAGAAATGGAAGTATCCTCTTGAAGTCAGATCAGCAAGAAATCATCTTTCTCGTTATGAAGGATGAACAATCGTTCACGCCAACATCCGTCATCAGAGGATTCGTTTAACATGATGCTGCTGAGACAGGTCAGTAAGCCTCCAATGTATTAGAGCTCAATGCCTAGATCTGGAATATTGCTGTTCATGGCAATCACTGTCAATGTAGCTGGCTTACCTTGCAAGTTTGGCAATTGGGCACATCATCAGCCTATTTAGATGCGAAAGCTACGAAGCACAGAATCCACAGAGTCTTTACACCTTTGGTCATGGCTCATAAGCTTGATCAGCAGACTGATTGGGTTTTCTGTCCAGAGAAACAGAGCAGGGGATATCACTGTATTTGTCATTGGGATTAAATTGGCATATTCTTCTCACATCTTTGTCTGTTTTCTTATTTGTTTGGCAGCACCAAGAAAGCACATCTGGTAAATATAATTTCTTTCTGGAATTGCTTGCATGTATTATTGCTAATGCAGCTCCCAATTTGAATGATCCAACCACAAGCCACACACAGACACAAGAAAATCCACAGCAGTGACAGCCATGCTATACAGAACAACCAGAAAGCTCAGAATGTATTACTGTTATCACAAACATGCAGTTCTTCACACAGCCAATCCTCAAAAGAGATTCCAGCCCAGCTGATGGATGATAAAGTAATGTGTTGGGTCACCACTTTTCCTAAAAGCTCATGGAAATGGCTCAACTTTATGAAGTCTACTGACATTTGCGAGTGGAATAGAAGAAGAGGATGAGGAGAGGATTTGATCTACTCTGTTCTAATGATTTAAAAGTAATTTACTAAGGTTAATACTTTTCCATACACAACATGATCCGATAAAAAAGCTGATGACTCTCACCGATTACCTCTCGCATGATCAATGATTAATGGCCCTCTCTCTGACTTGTTGGGGATCTTGAACGGTATCTAAAGAAAGATCCACTGCAATCACCCTGTTATCCACCACCTGCTTTGATCTACTCGAGCCAAATCTAGAAACAAGAAAAAGTCCATGGAGACCGATCCACCAGTCACCGGTCTTTGGCTCCAGAGAATATGCTAATATCCTGGAGCATGTTTTGATTTCACTGTCTCCTTAAAGACTCTCTTTTCCTTTCACTCCTCCTAACAAGCTTAGCATATGCTTCCAAATATTCCTCTCCTCCTAACCTCACCCAACACCCCCCCCTTCTCACGCTTTATCACTTCCCCTCCCCCCCCCCTTTGTTGGCTCATGCATTAGAGAAGAGGAGGTGAGAGCCATGAAGTTTGGCAAGAGGCTCAAGAAGCAGGTGGAGGAGAGCCTCCCCGAGTGGAGAGACAAGTTTCTCTCCTACAAGGACCTCAAGAAGCTGGTCCGGCTCACCTCCGCGGCGCAACCTTGTTCCAGAGTGGAGGCTGAGTTCGTCCAGATGCTGAACGCTGAGATCGACAAGTTCAACGCCTTCTTCGTCGAGCAGGAGGAGGACTTCATCATCAGGCAAAGGGTGGGAGCCAGCTCGATGCATTTTAGATAGCATGTCATGATTCATATATAGGTGCTGAAAATTTGATCCTTTTGGAGGCAGGAGCTACAGGAGAGGATCAAGAGAGTGATGGAGGACGATGGGACCGGAGGGAGCCAACCGTCGGAGATGGAGCACGCCAAAGAGATGTCAAGGATTAGGAAGGACATTGTGAACTTCCATGGGGAAATGGTGCTGCTGGAGAACTACAGTAGCATCAATTACACAGGTCATTACCTTACCAGATTCAAAGCCATTTACATCGGATAAGAGATCGAGATCTTTGTCTGCATTCCATAAACTCCTTAACCAAGTCAAAAATTTCCTTTCTCTTTTCACCTGAATAAAAAGCATTGTTCAGCAGAGAAGAAACAAAAAAAGGTTTTAGAAGAGTTGGCCATTGCAGGGCTAGCAAAGATCTTGAAGAAGTACGACAAGCGAACAGGGAGAGTATTGAGATTGCCGTTCATCGAGAAGGTCTTGAAACAGCCCTTCTTCACAACAGACCTCGTCTCGGAGATGGTCAAGGAATGTGAGAGAACCATCGAGCTTGTGCTTCCGGTTGCTGATCGTGGGCAGTCCGAACAAGGAGGGAAGGGGGAGTTGGTGGCAGCAGAACAGAGCGTCTTCAGGAACACGATTGCAGCGTTGATGACTATGCAGGAGTTGAGGAAGGGAAGCTCCACTTACGGTCACTTCTCCCTGCCTCCTTTGAGCTTGCCTGATCTCCAACTTCCTTCTCCCATTCCTATCCTCCAATAGCTTTGCTCAAGAACACCCTCTTCACTGTAAAAATCAGGCTAGAACGTGAGAGTTTAAGCATGGATACAAAATGAAAAGGATGTTTCGGAATGTTAATAAGATCTTAGTAAGTAGAGACTGTCATGATATCATCTCTATCAAATAGTTTGATCTGATTGTGCATAAAACTATCTCAGTAGCTAAATCTTAAAGCAGACAAGCATTTATAATGTGTTCCTCATGTCATGGCACAGGAAGAGTAGAACTAAAGCTTCTCAGACTGACATCAAACTATGCTCTTATTTATGAGAATTTTGTAGATGAACTTATTCCATGGATTAAAAACATGCATATGAAATATGCAGGACCTCACAAGTTCTAAAGTTTGTATAATCTATGTGTGGTAGCTTCATTAGGATTAGATAATCTACATATCTTTCATAAGACAAATGGTAGTGTCCCTACCAAGAACTGATTCTAAGCTAACACTACCATTATAAGAAACAAAAGTTGGCATCAGAATAAACTTCTCTTGTGAATATGCTGACTGTTTTTTACTTATTCCTAGTGAAATATTATATCACAACTGCCTTCCAATTCTAAAAAAGAAGAAGAAATCACATAAAGCAATTGCCTTCAAGTGGAATTTTAACAAGATTAACATAATAAGATTGTTAATCAACTTAACATCAGCTGCATCAACTTAATTTGAATTTATTCTAAACCTTAATTCTGTACTGAATGGTTTTTCACTTGTTGACTTTCTCAGTTGCAGATCAAAACTTACATTTGGTAATGGAAGTTTCATGGGCTTTCTTGTGATCTCTTGTATTAATATTATGACACTCTGATTTATTTCTGCATTGAAAGTGGATTGGAATTTGAATTGATTTATAAGATCTATATTATTATTAATTTGAGCTTAAATGTTTCAGGTCCATATGAAATTAATAGGCTAATTATTTTATTGGATTGGATCAAATCATAACAAATAATATCAAAATCCATCAAGTATTGGGCCGGATCAATTATCCCATTGGGTCCATTATCTTTTAGTAATCATCCATGATTTTCTCCCTTAACATAAATTAATTATCATAAATAATATATTATTTTATTTAAATTATGAGCTTCTTTATTTGTGTAGTATGGTTAAGGAAATGATTAAGATTCATTTCCTCAATCACGTGGACAAGTTAAGCAATTTGTTAATCAGTGATGTAATTTTTAGAATGTAAATAATTTAAAATTTATTTTTTATATGAATCACAAGAAATAAGTGTTATAATTCTATCTTTATGGATTAAATTAAAATTAAAATTAAATTATTACTTACCTTTTAGGGAAAGCTCATCTTCTCTGACTCCCTTTCTATTCCTTATTAGTAGTAGGAGGATTGAGGAAAGGATTCCATAAATTGAGGTATGATATTCTATTTTTTTTAATAAGTTTTTATTTATATTTTAAATTCTTTGATATTAGAATTATTATAATTTATATGATGCATAATAATATTTTAATTTTAAAATTTTATGATTAATAAATAATGATCATTGAATTATAATGTTAAAACAATTAGTTAATTTAATAATAATTTTAATTCATTTAATTATATATTAATATCTTTCAAGGAATTATGGTGAATTTTATATGATTTAATCAATTTTAAATTTGGAATGAAGATTTAATTTATTAAAATAATAAATTTGAGGTTAATTGTTATTTTATAATATCTTGAAATTTTTTTGAAAATATTAACATCTAATTTAATAAGAGAGGTCAAATTAAGGTCTGACCAGCTCACGTGGATAAGTATAGTCTAGCACATGTGATTAAGCATAACCCAACTTATGTGATTAGATATGATCTAAATAATATGGTTAGGTACAACCCAACCTATGTGGTTAGGCATGATTTAGCCCATGTGGTTAGGAATGCCCTAGCCCATGTGACTAAGTATGATTCAGCCTATGTGGTCAGGAATAACTCAGCCCATGTAGTCAGGTATAACATAACTAATGTGACCAAATATGACCCAACTCATATAACCAAGCACGATCTAACTCATGTGACTAAGCATAACCCAACTTATATGGTTAAATATGATCTAAATAATATGGTTAGGTACAACCCAACTTATGTGGTTAGACATGATCTAGCCCATGTGGTTAGGGATGCTCCCTTGTGACTAAGTATGATTCAACATATATGGTCGGGCATAACTCAGCCCGTGTAGTCAGGTATAACATAACCAATGTAAGCAAATATGACCCGACTTATATAACTAAGCACAATCTAACTCATGTGACCAAGCATAACCCAACCTATGTTGTCAGGGATAGCCCAGCCTATGCAGCTAAGCATGAGCCAAACATAACTCAGTTTAGTGGTAAGGCTTAACCCAACTCGTGAGTGAGACTTAGCCTAACTTATAAAGCTAGGCCCGCCTAACTATGTGATTAACGGTAGACATATTATTCCCCTTCTATCCAACTTACTTTACCACTTCTTAACTTGTTACTTGGGATAAGTACGTGCGACACATATAATCCATCCAAGTTTCAAGTAGATCTGTTCAGTCTTAACTAGCACTATATACCATAGTTCAATTTCTTCTTCTTTTATTAGTTTGAGCTAGTTAGTTGACTGAATCAAATAAGTTTAATTAATTCAAGTCGGTTTAAAGTGATTCCAAATCAACTTGACTAATTCATACCTATTTGACCTATTTGAAATCAATTAAATTTAAATGAGACTAGTCTAGGGTATTTTCATACTGATTTTATAAATATTTGAAGTTAATTTTATTATGGGAGTTTGGTTCAAGTCAATTAGGCTGTTCTAATTAGGATTCTAGTTGATTAAGAACTAGTGAGAGATTGATATCTTATGTCTTTATAATTTAATGAACTTTAAAGTTTTATCCAAGAGTGTCATTTAGAAATAATTATTGATTTTTTAGATTAAATCGATTATATTGATATGATTGTTATCATTGCTATAAGTAACTATGCTTAGTGATCCACGTTGAAAGTGCAAACTATGAAATGAGTTATGGGTCTATCATAGTGTAAAGCTACTAATGGACATAGTCTAGTAAGTCACACATTAAGCATGATCTCTTATAATATATTGTCATGCTACTTCTTGGATGTATGCATGAATGATGAATGTAAATAAATAATCATGGTTGACTATACATCCTTATTGAAGGCAGGTAAAATGATTCCCTTTAAGGATTGGCAGGCCATCAAATGTGATGGTTAGCTGGTTCCTCCATTTACTATTGGGAGAAATGTAACCCCACTTGAGGAGGTGAGGGATACCAATTTATCTGCTATTAAGAAGAATTCATCCCATAAAGTTTGTCTCTTTGTTCGCTATTGGAAGAATGTACTATCGAGTATAATATTTCATTTTACTACTTGAGTGTCATGTGTATCATCAGTATTTTATGTGATTAATATATGATTTTTATTTATTACATAAGAATTATCATTTTTTTACGTGAGTTTTATAATGAATTAATATATTATTGTTTTTATATTAAATTATTGATATTTATATAAGTTTTATGAATATTAAAGATTATTTTTATAATTTTTTGAATATTCTTATGAGTATATGTGGTTATTGTGTTTTTTATCTTATATTAATTTTTAAAATATTACACTATTTTGTAATAGATCTGATGGTTAGGTGAAGGAGACTTTTTATCGTTTGAGTTCGAACCATGAAGATGTGATTTTTTTCAATTAAAAATATTTAATATTATAAAGATAGATATTTGAATTTAAAAATAAAAAATAATCTTTTATAAATTATAAATAATGAAACAATACTTTATTTTTATGTAAATTTGGGATATAATAATTTAATAATACTAGAGTAATGGTTTTGAGAATATGTTGGAATATGAAATCCTAGGATTATAATATTATATGACCCAGTGGATTTTTAAGATTTAGATTTTGGACTGATACAGTAGTGCAACTGAAGCATAAGAGATTAAAATTATTTTATTAAGTCAGTCTATGGTGATTTCAAATCAGTTGTATAAAAATTTAAAGTTGTTCAACTGTGTATCAATTAAATTAAGTTTGATTCAAGTCAATTGAGCTATTTTAATTAAGATTGTGGTTGATCGAGGACTATTGAGATATTAATGCCTCGTGTCTTTATAATTTAATGAAATTAAAAATTTTATATGAATATATCATTTAAAGATAATGATTGATTTTTTTTTTTAAAGATTAGATTGATGATATTCATGTGATTATTACTATATAGTATATATGACTCTATTGATTGACCCACATTATTAAAAAATTTCTTAGATGTATAAATAGATAAATATAAATGAACGATCATGATTAATTATATATCTCTATCGAGGGCAGGCGAGTTCTCTCAAGGATTACCAGATTGTCAAATGTGATAGTTAGACGGTTCCTTAATTCATTCTTGGAAGAAACTTTTTTTCCGCTTAGCAGGTGAGAGATATCATTCTATTTGTTGCTGGGTTATTCTATCCGTTGTTGAGAGTACAATATAAGTTCTCTCCGTGTGATGCCGGGAGGAATTCATATATCTCTCAATTCACTATTAGGAGAATGCATCATCAAGTGTGATATACGTATTTATTATCTGACTATTATGAATCTATATTTTAATCTTATATTTATTTTTAAAATAATTTATTATTTTATAATAGATTTTGAAAATGGAGTTTTTGGTGACCCTATTAAGAAGATATAATTTTTCTTAAGTTAAAAATATCTAATATTATAAACACAGATATTTGAATTCAAAGATAAATTTTTTATAAATTATAAATAATGAAATGATAATTTATTTTTTAATATAAATATAAGATATGACACTTCCATGCGGTTGTGTCAAAGAAGACTCTGTCTGTTTCCTTGGTTCTGTTCTCCGTGTGCTTCCATGGGAATCTTCCTTTTATATAAAATGAAGAGGAAAGAGAAAAAGAAGTATTAACTCTTTGGCGAAAGCTTAAGCTAAAAACACAACCACCACCATGACATCCTACCTGCTGCAGAGTACAGACCATGTTGTTAATTTATCTTTCTTCGTGCTTGTCTCAGTCTTAACGCATGTACTCAACCAATATCCGACCAATTC